GGCTCTAGACAGAAAGAAATATAATAAGGATACTGAGAGACCTACCCACTGGGAAAAAAGTCAAAACAAAACAAAACAAAACAAAAACCCCCTGCAAACCCAAATTTCCTCAGGAAAGTATTTAATTCCAGTCTTAATACATCTAAAAGCCCTATAGACACCTCATGGGTGTCTGCCCAACTCACAAAGGCCCTTTTTTACACTCAGGAGACGCACTCAGCAGCCATGTTTGTGCAGCCTGGCACCTCTGGCCATAGCTGATTGGATGAGGGGCGGGCACTCAGGGTGAGCTGAGCCAATCAGAGCTCCTTCCCTGGGAATTTGGAATTAGGACTAAGAAGAGTTATAAAACTGGGGAGGTGTAGCATGGGTGGATTTTCTACCATGTGGAATAAGAAATAGGCCTTTCATGAAGCGAGGATGTGTTCCTGCCCTCAGATCCCATGAGATATCTCTGAATCCTTATGTTAAATTTCCATTTTTGCATTAATGTGGCAGAGTATCCCAAGACGGCTTCCTTCCCTGGGTGCATAAGTCATTCTTCCATAAGGAGATGGGATCTATTTCCCCTCTCCATTAAAATGTGGTGAAGTGGTGCCCTACCGGTTTCAGACCTGGCTGTTCAGAATTCTGGCAACTTCCATCTTTGCTCTCTTGGGATCTAGCTGCCATGTAAAGGAGCTAAGGCCAGGCTCCTGAATGAGAAAAGACCCTGTAGAGAGAGAGAGGGGCCACAGAGAGTGCCCTGAGGCACAGATATGGATGGAACAAAGCCTTCTTGGACCTTGCAGTCCAGCCCAGCCACCAGCCGAATGCAGCTGAGTGAGCAACCCCAGCTCATGCCCTATGGAGCACAAAACCCGCCCAGCAGAGCCCTGCCTGAATTCTGAACCCATAGAATCATGGAAAATAATATACTGCTGTTGCTTGAAGTCACTAAATTTTGGGTGCGTTGTTATGCAGCTACAGATGACTGAAATAATCTTGCTGGAATTCCTTTCCTTTTTTGCAAGCTAAGTATCCTAACGATTATAGAAAGCCTTGAAGCAGCCAGGGCATGCAAAATACACTCTGAGATCCCACTTAGCACTTAAATAGGAATGTGGGGGCAAATGAGGCAGTTTAATGAGTTTCCCTTCTGGCCATCATCTCTTCCTCCAGGGATGCTGAAGAGACCAGAGCTGGGTGGGCTGAGTCGTGAGCAAAGGTTTTTAGACACCCCCTAGGGCAGAATAAGCTGCAGGGAGAGAAGCAGCTCTGGTCTGCTGCATTGTCTGGGGATCCCTGGGGCTCCCTGGGGGCGCTCTGGGGTGGCTGACTCTAGCAAAACTGCCCCAGAAAGGCAGCACCTCCTGGGAGGCCTGGAGGCAAGTCTCTCCTGAGATGCTCAGAGCCGCAGGAGCATGGGGACCAGTTCTGGCAGCTTAGGAGGTATCAACAGATCTGGAAGGAATAGTGTTAGCCTAGAAAGGGCTCCAGCTTCTAGCTCCCGGCATGACCACTCCAAACCTGAGCCTGTACAATGTCCATGTTCTGCAGTCCAGAAATTTGGGGTCCAGCCTTCAGGAAAAACACCTAATAGTTAAGAGCAGAATACTGAGAGCCAGTCAGACACGATGTGTATCTTGACTCTTTGAGACCTTGGGCGAGGGACCTAACCTCTCTAAGGCTCAGTTGTCTCACTTGCAAAATGGGGATAATAATAGCACCTACTTGACCGGGTTGAGACGGGCAGTTAATGAGTTAATCCGTATGATGTTTCTAGGTTCAGTGTTTGGCACGTAGTAAGTGCTCAATAAATGGTACCCACTATGATTATTTATTATGCATATTAACAATGATTTCACACTTCTCCAGATGGCTTTCACTCAGATAATAGAAAAGAGGATTCAGCATCACAGAAGTAGGTGTCTGGGGCCCCGAAGGGGATGCAGCTACTTCTGCAAAATTTTAACATAGTTAGAAGGAGCTCGCTTACTCTGAGAGGGGCAGCCAACCACATAGTGCGGGTTCCTCCACCAGACACCCGCCCTGTACCATAGTCTGAGCAGGAAGGATCCTGAGAATCGGACTGACCTGCCTCACTGGACCACTGAGATTCCCAAGGCTGATTCACTGAGAACCTCAGGTTGTGAAGTGGGAGCCCCGAAGGCACCCCGCTTTCAGCCTTGCTCCACATCTGACACATCGCTTTGCTTTTATCTGAGTCCTCTCTGATCCTCTCCCAGGGAAGCGTGGGAAGAACAAGAATCAGGACAGGTTTGGGCTCATAAGACACAAATAGCATTGGGCTTGCCTCTGGCGATGCTATCAGCGAGGTCTCACTGCTGATACCAGTGTGGGGAAATGGCCCAGCCAGAATCCCGGGACCGTCCTCCCCACTCATCCAGAAAACACAGCATCTCAGCAAAAAAAGACTCTGTCACCAAGGGCCTGGCCCCAGCTCCCTTAAAAGCCTCTCAAATCTCCTCCAGGGAAATCCAGGAGCTGCTGGAATTCCAGGGCTGCCAAACAGGAGTCTCAGGGCATAGTTCCAGAATGGAGGGCTTGGCCAGTGACAAACCGAGTGTCACCAGCAAATTCATCGTTCAATGATTGCCACCATTTATTGAGCGGATGCTCTGTGCCAGGCAGCATGATAATCCTTTGCGTGTGGAACACTCGCTGAGAAGCATGTGTTCATGTTATCCCCATTTTGCATATGAGGACACTGAGGCACCGGGAGGTAAATGGCTTACCCAAGGTCCCATGGGGGTAAGTGGTAGAGCTGGGATTTGAACCCAGGTCTTTCTGATTCTGCAGCCCTAGTGATTAACTACTGTGCTGTTCCACCATGTCACCAGGTTGGTGGAGGCCATATTGCAAGACATGGAGGACAAGGCAGGAAACCCATCTACCCTGTTCTAGAATGTTCAAGCTAGAATCTTCTCAGTCCACAGAGATCTCCCCAACCCCTTAACGTTACGCCCAGGGTCAGGCCAGCGGCCGTGTTCGTACAACATGAGCAGCACTCATGGCCACAGCTGATTGGACGAGAGATAGCACCTGACACCAGCCAGCCAATCAGTGTGCCTTCCCTGGGAATTTGGACCCTGGACCGCAAGATTCTAAACCCTTCAGCCTCTTGGCCACAGGAGGTGCAGAAGGATATTGGGGGGGCAGCACTGTCTGCTATATTCACTCATTCACTCAACAAATATTTCACTGCACACCTACTATGTACCAGGCCCTGTAGATTCAGTGAACAAAACAGGCAAAAATCTCTACCCTTGGGAATGTTACAATCTAATAGGGAAACATAAACAATAGTCAAAGTGAGTTTGTAAAATATAAAATATGTTAGTTAGTGGTAAGTTCTCTGCGGGAAAGAGGCTGAGAGTTCGTGCTTCCGAGGGTTCATCCTTAACATGCATATTCCTCCTCCTTCCCGCAAGGTTCAGACCCATGGTTGGGTGAGGTGAACACACAGAGGCGCGCGCGCGCACACACACACACACACACACACACACACACACACACACACACAATCAGACACACTCACAGATCTCCAGCTTGGACAACTCCTCACTCCTGATATATCTTTCAAAAGGCAAAATAAAAACTCAACCCTAGAAGCAGGCGCCTTAAGACCTATCGCTTCAGCAACCTCTTGAGGAAGCTGACCCAGGCTGTGGCGGGTCTTTGTCAGTTGTCAACAATACCCCTGATCTCCCCAGCCCGCCCCGAGTAAAATTATCTACAGAGGCTCAAATCAAAAGCACCCACTTCCCACATGTTCATCACACCATTTTCCATCCAACAGCCTCGTTAACCCATAGCTGAGTGTGTGGGTAGGAAGATACACGGGCGCCTCAGTGCCTGAAGCAGTTGGAAGCAGTTGGCAAAGGCTGCCCCTGGGACAAGGGCCTGGGGCGGGGGGCTGGAGGGCGAGGTGGAATCCCAGCCCCCCTCCCACTTCCTATATGAGGATCTGTCTTGAGGGCCCACTCAGTGACCCCCCTGCATCCTGATAGCCAGAGTCTTCACCCATGCCAAGAGCCCCCCTCCATGTTTACCCTCCTCTTCTCTGTCACTCCTCCCATCTTGCTCCCCCCACTCTGATGATCACCCACATTTCCCCCACTCCTCTCTTCTCAAGCCCACCCGCGGTGGCTCCCCCTCTCTCTAGCACTGTTCCTGCTCATAGATGTTTGTCACTCTCTGTCACACCTCCCTCTTATATTCTTTGCTTCTCTCCCATACACATTTTTTCAATGGCTGCCCTCCAAACCTCACCTCTTTCCTTCTTCCAACCATTTATTAAACACGAAGTATTCCAGGGCCGGGGCCAGGAACCGCACCTGCCTCATTTCACTTACTCCTGACGACCGTCCTCTGGATAATTACTGTTCTTGTCCCCGTTCCATGAGTGAGCCAATGAAGGCTCAGAGAGGTGAAGCGATGTGCCCAGAATCCACAACGGGCAAGCGGGGAGCTGAGACGGTCCCCGGTTTTTGGAGTCAGACCCACCAGGTTAACCTGTGCTGCCTCACTGTCATGCTGGGCCCTTCAAGACTGGTTTCTCTGGGTCTCTTCTATCACTCATTTCATATGCGCTCTCTCTCCTCCTTACCCCACCCTCGGCTATATGTTCTGGCATCTACACGGCCAGTGACACGTGCAGCGGCCACTGTGTTCACTCAGACACCCTGGGTTCACGCACACATCTCCAGCCTCCAGTGACAATCCCCCATCTCCCCAACACAAGATCCGCCCTTCCTCCTCCTCTGTCACACACCCCCCAGACAAGGTCCCCAGCCAGCCCCTGGCCCACTCCCTCCTCTGGCCTCTGTTCTCCTCCTCCAGCTCTCCTGCAACAAGGACTCCAGGTCTGCCTGGGTGAGTGGCCTGGCAGGTCACAGATGACAAGCCCCTAAGGCAGCCCCACCTTGCCCCAGCCCAGCCTCCTGGCCCTCATGCCTCAGGGGCTCTCAGGAGAGCAGAGATGTGTCAGGACTCACCCGATTCGCTCCTGCTCCATCTCTTCCATTTTCTCAGCCCGGGCGATCACCCGGTTGATGATTTCCTTCTCCTCATCTGTCAGCTCTTCCTGCTTTCTCTGTCTGTCGGGCTGACCTCCGGCACGGACGGACCAGCCTGCCTGGAGCCTGAAAGGGAATTTGGGAAGGCGTGAGGCTCAAGAGAAAACCCAGCAAGCAGTGTAGAACAGTGGTTAGGCCCTAGGCCTTTAGGCCTTGGAGTCTGGTAAACCCCCCCCCCCCCCCCCCCCCCCGTTCAAATCCTTGCTGGGAAATGCCCTGGCTGGGAGGCTCTGGGCCAAACAATCCTATCTCCCAGAGCCTCAGTTTGCTCATCTGTACAATGGGTTTATCTGACGATGTGCTCAGCCCATGGCAGATACTCCATAAACTGCATTTGCCGGAAGCTCATGGAAACCTGGAGGGTAATGGCGTCCTCAGGAAAAGATCCCTGAACAGTAGACTTCTAAGCTTGAGTGGAAACAGTTCTGGAGGGGTGATCAGAAACCCTGGGTCCCAGGTGGACCCCAGCCCCTGCCTGGCACAAAGATGCTTGGTTTGGGCCACAGAATTTTTTTGTAAATCAATTTAAACCACTTGCCAACAGGTTTATAAAAATCTCTTGATTTCACATAAACATTCAGGTTTCCAGCCTCAAAAACTCCTATAGCATTTTGAGTTCTATCCTGTACTCTTCTTGTTTAAAAAGCAAACACTGACCTAGGACCTACTGGGTGACCACATTACCTCATGTAATCCTCACAACATCCCTATTACATGCCCACATTACTGCATTTAGTTTTCACATCACCCCTACTGTGTGCCCATATTACTTCATTTAGTCCTCACATCATTCCTACTAGGTGCCTGCATTACCTTATTTAATCCTCACATCAGCCCTACTGTGTGCCTGCATTACCTCACTATCCCTCAGATCATCCCTACTATGTGTCCACATCACCTCATTTAATCCTCACAGAGTCCCCACAAGGCAGCGAATGTCATTGTCTATTTACTGGTGAGGAGACTCAGCTGTGGAGAAATCAGGCCACTTGCCCAAAGTCATATGGTTGGGAAGTGGCAGGGTGGGCTTCAGACCTGGGCAGCCTGCACACTTCACCTCCACAACATGGAGAGAACTGAACACCCGCTGGCATAGCCTCGCTGATGGGTCTGCTGGGTGGAGCACTGTGGTCCATGCCAATTGTGATCATCTCCACTAATGCCACGGTCCACGCCCAGGGCACCGAGGGTCATCACCGAGTGGAATGCAGGGTTAAACACCAATAGAAACTCTTGTCCCCATTAAGGAAAAAACCAGTAGCTACGAATCCTCCAGAGCCAGCCCCCATTAGCTGCCAGCGTCTATCACTTCCACCACTCTAATCACGTCAGCAGGCATAAAATTGCCTTTTGACACTCAACGTTGGACATTAAAAGCCCATCTTCCTCCCCTCACCCCTTCTGCCACCCTCCCATCTTAGCTGGTCTGTCCTGAGAGCAGAGTGCGATGGGTTTGAAAGAAGCTGCCTTAGGGCAAGTCCTGTTGGGAGAAAGGGAAGGCGGGTGAAATTCTAGTGGAAACACACCTTGCCTTGAAGCTGGGGGCTCTGGGGGTGAGCAAATGCTAAACACACTCAAATCCCCTGTTAAATACCTCCCAATACCTTCTCAATTACTTAGAATAAAACCCAGAGCTACATAGGGGTGACAGTTACACAACTTTGCGAATACGCTAAATGCCACTGAATTATACACTTAAAAATGGTTAATTTTGTTACGTGAACTTGACCTTAATAAAAATATAACTCAGCCTTCTTGCCCATCTGCAAAGTCCTACCTGATCTGTCCTTAACCTGCCTCCATCCTCATCACCGCCTTATCACTACAGTCCAGCCCGCTGGCCTCCCTGCTCAGCCTTCAACACCAAAACCTTGGTTTTGCCTCAGGGCCTTTGCACTTGCTGTCCCCCTTTCCAGGAACACCTATCCCCCCAGATCTCTCCATAGATGGCTCCTTTTCATCAATTAGGTTTGGGCTTCAAGGTCAACTCCTCAGAGAGGCCCTCCTTGATCTCCCATTGCCCAGGTTCACCAGCTTCTGGATGGCCGCTCCCTGCGGCTGCTGGCCGCTCACGCTGGCTGCTGGCTACACACGGTAGCCCATGGCAACCCACTGCAGCAGGGGCTGCAGCCTACGCTGTCGCTGGCGACTCATGGCAGCCCAGCTCCAGGTTGAGCTGTTGTTCAGCATCTTAGCTGTGGAGGGCAGTGTCANAGCTGTGGAGGGCAGTGTCACTGGCCCTCATATGTGGGATCCGAACCGGGGCCCTCTGGTGTCTCAAGCCAGCTCTTAACCAACGCGCCACTTGGCCGGCCCCGAAATTATCTTTTTAAAGAGTTTGTTGTTCACCTGTTTATTGCCAGCTGCCATATTATGTCATGTCACCCAAACATCACACAGGCGGAGAGGCCCATATAGAGAGGAACTGAGGTCCCCAGCCAAAAGCCAGCACCACCTTGCCAGCTATGTTAAATGGATCCTCTGGCTCCCATTGAGCCGTCAGATGACTGCAGCCCCAGCTGACATAGGACTACGGCTGCATGAGGAGCCCTGTGCCAGAACCACCCAGCCAAGCCACTCTCAGTCCCTACCAACAGAGACTGTGAGGCATAATAATTGGTTTCTGTGGCTTTAAGCCACTAGGTTCAAGGTGATCTGTTCTGCAGCATTAGATAACTGAAAAAAACCAGCCCAGCTGGAGGATAGAGATACGGTGGCACAAACCCCCAACTTCAGTGTCTGTGTATATTTTCTGTGCTGCGTAACAAATTATCACAAACTTAGGGGCTTAAAACAACACACATGTATTATCTCACAGTTTACATGTCAGGAACCTGGGCACAGCTTAGCTGGGTCCTCTGCTCAGTGTCTCACAAGGCTGCCAGCAATCAGATGTTGGCTGGGCTGCATTCTCATCTGGGGGCATGACTGGGGAAGGGTCCACCTCCAGGCAGATTTGGGGTTGTTGGCAGAATTCACTTCTGTGCAGTGGGTGGCTGAGGGCCCCAGATTTTTGTTAGCTGTTGGCAAGAGGCCACCCCTAGGTTCTGGAGTCAGATTCTAATTCCTAACCAAGAGGACCTCTCCAATGTCATCCTGTGGGCTGCTTTCTTTAACAAATTTGCAAGGCGAATCTCTAGCTCCTGTCAACTGAAACAGTCTTATATGAGGTCACAGTTGTTGTGAACTCATCCTAGAAAAAGTGTTGCATACCTCATTGCTGAATATCACTATGTTCACCTTCGAAGTACTCCCCTTGGGAAGCTATGCACCGATGCCAGCGCCTAGTCCACTCTTCAAAGCAATTTTGGAACTCTTTTTCTAGAATGCCCATCAGAGCTGTTGTCGTACTACCCTTGATGTCCTGAATGGCATCAAAATGAATTCCTTTCAATATTTCCTTTATCTTTGGGTAAAGAAAGAACTCATTGGGGGCCAGATCAGGTGAGTAGGGCGGGTGTTCTGATACAGTGATTTGCTTACTGACTAAAAACTCCTGCATGGACAGTGCCGTGTGAGCTGGTGCATTGTCATGATGCAAGAGCCATGAATTGTTGGCGAAAAGTTCAGGTCATCTAACATTTTCACGTAGCCTTTTCCACACTTCCAAATAGTAAGCTTGGTTAACTGTTTGTCCAGTTGGTAAAAATTCATAAGGAATAATCCCTCTGATATCAAAAAGGTTAACAATATTGTTGCAACAAGTTTGCAGACTTAATTGTCAGACCTTGTATGACATCATGTCATCACAAGGGTGACATCCCAACCCCTTTGCCATATTCTATAGGTTTGAAACATCCCAGGTCCCACCCACACTCAAGTCGAGGGGGTTATACAAAGGCCTGAACCCCAGGAGGTGGGGACCACTGGGGGATCTCCTGAAAGTCTGCCTGCCACAGCCTCCCTAGCAGGGGTCCTTCCAGGCTTGCTTGATGCGCTCCGCGATGGAGACCCCACTCTCACATGAGTCTGTGCCAATCTGCTGGAAAGATTTTCCTTACCGTGTGTTACTGTGCATCTCTCAGCTTGATGCGTCTTCCCATTATTTTTAAAGGGTACATTGGACTTCTGGGTCATGAAGACCACCCATCCTTCCCAAAGAGCCTTAGTCATAACCTAATGCAGGTCTCCCCAGATTACCATGGACATGGATGTCTCACTGCCCTCAGTCTTCCTTCCTTCATCCCCACTTTCCTTCCTTCATTCTCTTCTGATCCCCCTCCATTTACTTCCTGCCTTTACAATGCAGTTCAGTGATCAAAACAGAACACAGGTGAGATGCTGGGCCTCGTACCCAGCGGAGACTGCTCCAAGGGCACACTCCTGCAGCTCAGTCTGGTCCCGGGCACCGTCAGCCATGGGCCAGATCTGCAGCCAATGCTTCTCACCTCACCACACAGCTCGCTGGGGTCAGTGTATGCAGGAGACAGATGCTACTGGCCATGAATGGCTCCAGGAACGTAAGTGGGATGGGGGCTCCCCCGAGGGCCCACCAGGATAATTGCCTCCATCTGCAGACGAGCAGAAGGCCTGCTGGAGGCTGCTGGCATCCCTCCAAACCCTTCCCCCATCCTCTGCTCCAAAACCGCGCAGTTGACAAACAGCTCATCCAGTGTTTGCAAATGTCTCCGGTTGGTCTCAGTGGGGACTCGCAAACCTCCTGTGGATTTTCATGTTTTAATTTCCAAAGACCAGCAGAGGGAAATGAGGTGATTTTCCAAACCAAAGCCTTTGCTCTCAAGAGAGAAATTGGGCCTGTCTGGGCATCCCCTAGGCTGGGGGGCACTGTGAGCATGGGAACCTCAAGAATGCTCCTGTGACAAGATGGTGGCTTCTTTGTCAAGAGCCCCTGGAAACAGGATTCCAACTCCATGTCCTTAAGGCCAGGGTCCAGTGTTGGGATCTTGCTGAAGACCAAGGCTGGAGACCAAAGTATTGCTTCCACAGACAAGTTTCTCAGAGCATTGTATCCAATCCAGTAAATATCCAGAGGGCCTACTGTGTGCCGGCTTGAGCCCTCCTTACCTGGCAGAGTTCAGGACTGGAATCCTAGACCTGCCACTTATTAATGGTGCATACGGGCTCTGCACTGCTCTGAATGTCAGTGTCTAGATCTGTTAAGTGAGAATGATTTTATGTCTGTTTCCTGCTGGGACCCTTAGAAGCCACATGAGCAGAAGCCACTGGCTTACTGGCTGTGATGGGTCAGAGCAAAAAGGGTTGGCCGGTCTCTACTCTTGGTCACACACTTAGGACAATGGAGAAATATTGACGGGTAACTGCCTCCTAAAATTATCTAAGCCATGGTTTTCAAACTGTGCTCTGCAGTTCCCTAGGGGATCTCAAAGTGCTGCGGGGGTGGGGGAGGGGGAGGGTTGGCTATAGATGGACAGAGTGGGCAGGGAACCAGATCCCCCCTCCTCTCGTCGGCCAGGTGGCAATGCTGAGCTCCGAACACTAGCAAAGCAAGGATACCAGTAAAGAAAATCAAGAGAAAAACATATGAAGGATTTAATATTTGAAATTCAATAAATGCATGAAATGTGGTTTATTGTATTGATGACTTCAATACTTCACCCTCCTAAGTATCTGTGCCCTTTGCCAGGTGAATTTGAAACTGCCCCCACCAAAGAGTCAGAATCTATTTCCCTACCCCCTGAATCCTGCCTGGACTTAGGAGGTCTAACAATTAACTTTGCAAACTTGTTGCAATGATGTTGCTAACCTTTTTTGATATCAGAGGGATTATTCATTATGAATTTGTACCAACTGAACAGTTAGCCAAGTTTACTACTTCGAAGTGCTGAAAAGGCTGTGTGAAAAGTTAGAGGACCTGAACTTTTCACCAACAATTCATGGCTCTTGCATCACGACAATGCACCAACTCACACGGCACTGTGAAGGAGTTTTTAGCCAGTAAACAAATAATTGTATTGGAACATCTCCCCTACTCACCTGATCTGGCCCCCAGTGACTTCTTTCTTTACCTGAAGATAAAGGAAATATTGAAAAGAAGACATTTTGATGACATTCAGGACTTCAAGGGTAATACGATGACAGCTCTGATGGCCATTCCAGGAAAAGAGTTCCAAAATTGCTTTGAAGGATGGACTAGGCGCTGGGGTCAGTGCATAGCTTCCCAAGGGGAGTTCTTCGAAGGTGACCATAGTGATATTCAGCAATGGGGTATGTAGCACTTTTTCTAGGATGAGTTCGGGGACTTAGTTGTCAGAACTCGTATGACTTGTTTTGGTCAGTAAAATGCAGGACAATGACCTTGTGCCAGTCCCAAAGTGAAGCCTGCAAAGGCCTTGTGTGTTTCTGCTTACTCTCTTACACGTCTGCCATGACCGTGACCACAAGCCCAGGACAGCATGTTGGAGGATAAGAGACATATAGATCAGAGCTGAGTCACTCCAGTCACAGCCATCCGAGATCAGCCAACCCCTGGGCTGCACGAGCGAGCCCAGCCAAGGTCATCAGAGCTAATAGCTGAGCGCAGATCCCTGAGAATAAGTAATCGTTCCATGCCACTGCATTTTAAGATGGTTTGTTACACAGCAAAAACTAGCTGATACAGTATCCACTATGGCAACAACGAGAAAATGTGAAGCTGGTTGGACTCACTACATTTCCTGTACAGTTTGGTGTTATTTTCAATTACAGTTGCATAAAGTTCACCATTGATGTGTTTAATGCTTTCGGTGGCTAACGGTCTTTCTCCAGCTCTCCTCTTATCTGTCTTATATATTTAGCTTCTGAATAAAATGTGATTCAAAGAAAGAGTTTTGCTGCTCACAAAAAGTCTAACTATCACTGCAATTGACCTGCTTTTTTTCCAGATGACTGCCGCTCAGAAGAGGGAAGGGAATTGCCAAGGAATATGTGCAGAGTGAGTATAGTCAGAGGCTCGAGAAATAGCCTTCTGCACATGCTTGATCTGCTACCTGAATCTACCTGCTCAGGTGCATCTAGAAAGGGTCAGAAGGGACCCTCCCACCAAAAGCAGCACCCTAATACGAAAGGAATTAGTCCTGACTCCAGGTGAAAGCCCCTCACAGATGTTTCTCCCCCTAAAATACTGCAAAGGGCAGACTCCCACCTCCTTTCTGCCTCCCACCTTAATTCTTCATTTCATGCACACAATGGTCACGTAATAAACACCCAGCAGATGTCTCTATTAATAAATTATAACTCCCAAAAGGAGTGGGATGATGGAAGTGCTGTCGGGGTGCTGAGGCTCTGAAGCATTACACAGCGGTGCTGTGCAGAAAATTAATCCCTTTTCTTGCCTTTCTTCTTCTTGTCCCTCTCTTCCCCCAGGATGCCGACATAGACAGGTGTCAGCAGGAAGTCGCTTTACAGCCCAGTGAATGAGATTTTAATGAATCCTGAAGGAAAGGATAAGGACAGAGGGGCAGCCATACCACAGAATGGTTTTACACGTGCCCTGCTGGTAGAAAGACTCCTTCGGATGCAATTTGCCCAGACCGGACTAAAATGGGTGCAGAGGGATGCTGTGGTCCCCCCCCCTTCAGAATGCTGAGGGAATCTCAGGCTCCTTCTACTCTTTTAAGCCAGACCGAGTTCCAGTCAACTCTTCTAAACTTCCATTCGCTCTCTCATAGTTGGACTTCGCACATGCTGTTCCCCTACTTGGAACTCTGTCTCTTCTTCATCTTCATGCTCCGCCTTCCTCTGGTCTCATCTCACACTTCGCTTCTCCCATCACGACCCCAAAGTCCGGCCGAGGTGGCCTTCCTGTGCTTTCTCGGCCCACTGTGACTCTGCCAGCACAGCTCCTTGCACACTGGAGTGCGTTTGATGGTGGCTGGCTGTTTGTTTGTGGGCCCCTCTAGACACACACTGCTACTTTGTCCATCCCTGCCTGCCTGGTGTTTAAGACAGTGCTTGATACACAGTAGACACTTGGTGAATGCGTGTTAATGAGAGAAGGGAAGACGGAGGCAACGAAGGAGGGAAGGAGAACGGTGGGAAGGAAGATGGACACACACTCGACCTTCAACTTTCCGTATTCAGGAAGCCTCTATGAGCCTTGGGATTCTCGGGAGTTGTGAACTTCTCCCTTGTCATGTTCATATTTATAACCCGACAGCATCTCAGCATCTCTTCCTGGCATGTCTGAATAACATCGTCATAGAAAGTAGGTCTAGTCTGGCCAGAGAGCTAACCAGCCAACAGCAGAAATCGTGGAACTTTCCAATGGCCTTGAACAGTCAACTGGTCCAAAGCTCCCACTGGACAGAGGGAGAAAGTGAGACTCGGAGCCAGGAAAAAAAATTCCTGGGGTCACCTAGTTAAGTGTTTCTCGGTGTTAAGAACATGATTAGAGGATTCTGGGCCTGATGATGAGGTCATTTGAGTCCAAAAACCTGAACAAGTTATGCAAGTGTTTTATACACACACACACACACACACACACACACACACAATGTATATATAGGAGGTGTGTATATGTATGTACTACACACACGCACACGCACACGTAAGGAAGGTTGAGATTCACATCTTCCTCTGGCTTAGCCCAGTGCTTTACAGTTTACAAAGCTTTCCTCTGCATCTCATTTAATCGTACCACCAGCTGGTGAGGAGGAAAAGGCAGGGTTATCACACCCATTTTACAAAGGAGATAGCCAGAACTCAAGGAGGTGAGGGGCAGTGCCTACGGCCACACTGACACTGAGTACCAGGGCAGGAGGCAGGCTGGGTCCTCTGACGCCAGGCCCCGGGCTCTTGGTGGCTCTGGGATAATGTCCCCATCGCGAGGAGGGTAAAGACGACTTTCCATGGCTTCGGAATGCACACACACAACCAAAGCCTGGTCTGTTTTGCAGCCCGACTGTTCGTTGATTGGACCCAGCATCCAATCTGTCATGCATATTTAGGAAATGAATCCAATTTAAAACGCAAAAGTTGTGAGCAAAGATAGGACCTCTGAGCCAAAGGCATTTCACTGGGAAATCAGGTTGACCTCCCGTGAGGTGACAGAGACCATATGTAGGAGCACGTAACTTCCCCCAAGCCCTGTTCTGTTCATCGTCTTTTATTAACAGTAGCAGTTCTTTGAGTTAGCATTTTCTTTACCTACGAACAGTGTCCCCAGGCAAACTGCTACAGAAACAGGGGCACAGAGTAGTCAGTAAACTTGTTGAAACCGCACGTTACTAATAAGAATGAAATTGAGGGCTCTCCTAAGGAACACTGCCCATCCTTTTATCAAGATATTATTTGAAATTTTGTCTTTTTTTTTTCTTTAAAGGGATGTGTGTTTTCTTAATAACTTACGTTTTGTTGTTGTTGTTGTTGTTTTTAGGTTTGTCAAATTTGCTAGTTCCTCTTTTTAACCATCTCTTTTTAGGGGCAAAAACCACTTTGGTCAGAAGAGAGGTACAATTCAGTGGGTAGAAAAACAAAAGTACCATAAAATACTCACTGTTCTTTATCACTGAAGGAAGGCAAAGAAAGGAGAGAAAGAAAGACGAGAGTTAGGAAAGAAATCTCATAACAATACCAACAGCGTCTGGAGGCAAAACCATGCCGTTTAAATGGCGATGACCTACTTTCCATTGTTTTTCTCTTAGTCATTATCGTCTTATTTCTAACACAAGACAACGGCAATGGGGGCTTGTAAAACCCACAGCTCTGATTAAAATGACCAAATCAGTTCAGCTTATTCATGAAGCGAGCCGATCATTTGTGTATTGGGCACTAAAGAGGAGTCACTTCATGACGACCTGGCCAGCATCGCTCTTGGTTTCTGTTGGTTGAAATACTGGGGCTTAAGGAATACTTTGAGGAGGAGGAAGAGCCCTGAGCAGTAATTGGATCATCCGAAAGTAGAACTCGCAGTGCCCCAGTTTTGGAAAGCAAGACTCCATTCTAGAAAGGAGGCCTTTCTAGATGGCATCTCCATTTACTAGGTGGGCAACCACAGGCACGTCATGTCCTCTCTCCATGCCTCAGTTTCCACCCTCTGGCTTGAAGACTTGGAAGCTGTAGAGAAGCATCGAGTTTCCAGCATTGCTCTCCAGGCAAGAGCTGAGCCACCGCCCTACCCATGCAAGAAACAGATGTCCTCGCCTCTTTCCAACACCGTCGTTAGATTCAAGGAGGCTGAGAGAGGAAGGCATTCGAAAATCACAAAAGCAGTAAGTGTATCTAGCTAGCCAGTAGTTAATTAAGATTAGATTTCTTAATTTACTGGAGAGAGACATTAGAAGTGCCTGCATTAGCACATCGCCACTGCAGCAGGATAGATGGCATGTGTGATGACTATAACACAGCCATTAGCATTTATTGGAAAATAATTTTAATATCTGAAGAAAATGCAGCAGCAATCAAGCCAGCCAGATGCATTCATAACGCCAACACGTTTCGTAGGGGCCCAGGAGCACTTTAATGAAATTGCGCCCAGGCTGTTTGAGTAATTCTAATTTAATTGTAAAGCAAATTGTTTGGCTTTGTAGTGACTTTCGTAAACTCTGATGGATGGGATTTTAATTAACTGACATTTCTAAAACAAAATAAATATTTTATCCCATCCACCCTTCAGGCAACTGTTTATCTTCCAAAGACACACTTTTTGACGGAGGGACTATTTTCTGCAAAATAAGTTTGGCTCCAACAGGACATCACAGGAAGGGCTTGGGGGAGGAGGAGTTTCCTTTCCAAAAGGAAACCAATAGAGTTCACGAGCATCTTCAAAGCTTTAAGACTCATAGAACTGGAGGAGGTTTTAGGTACAAGGAGTAAAGAGACAGGAGCTGTTGCTTCACAGAATATGGGTGGACTAACTCTTCAGAAAGACCCTTCACCAATACATAACCAGATCGGAGGTAAGTTAGAGCAAAGCTCTTTCCATGCAGTTCTGGGATTAAAAAGTAAGGGAATTCTTCAGTCTCCCCTTTCAAAATAAATCGACAAAATACATTTCATCAAAATTGAAAAAAAACCAAAACTTTTCCTCTCTGAAAGACTCTGTTATATATATATATATATATATATATATATATATATATATATATATATATATATATATATATAAAGCAAGGCATGGACTGAGAGGAAATATTTGCAAAATGGCATATTCAATAAAGGACTTTTATCCACAACCTATGAAAGCAACTCTTGTAAATCTTAATAAGAAGAGGATACATGACCTGATTTAAGAATGGACAAAAGCTCTGAACACATACTTAAACGAAGAGGTTGTATACTCCAAGTTATATAAGAAGATATGCAACATCCTTAGTCATTAGGGAAATGCAAATTAAAACCACAAAGAAATACCATTATCACACTAGAATGGTTAAAATTAAAAAGACTGACCATATCAAGTGCTGGAGATGAGAGAGAGAGCTGGAATTCTCATATACTTCCAGTGGAAATTTAAAGTGGTACAACCAATTTGGAAAACGGTTTGGCAGTTTCTTAAAAAGTTAAACATACACAAACATACCATATGACCTAGGCATTCTACTCCGAGGTATTTACCCAAGAGAAATGAAAGCATATGACTATACAGAGTTGTATTTGTACTAGCCCCAAACTGGAAGCAACCCAAATGTCTGTCCATCAGTAGATGAACGGATAAACACATTGTGGTATCCATATAATTAAATACTACTTAGCAATAAAAAGGAACACAATATTGGTATGCAAAACCATCTGGATGGATCGTGGAATAATTATTCTGCATGAAAGAAGAGACACATCTCTCCCCGCAGAAAAGAAGAACACACTGCATGACTCCATGTATATAAAATTCTACAAAATGCAAACTAATTTATAGATACAGAAAGAAGATTAGTGGTTACCTAGGGATGGGCGGGGAAAGCGAGGGGCAGGAAAAGACGACGACAAAGGGGCATGAGTATGTATACCCAGGGTGCCAAAAAATGTATACAAGCAGACACTTTGGTCAACATTGCTCAAGCAGTAGTTCGCCGTCATCGGAAGTGTCTGGACGCTGATGGGAACCACTCTGAGCACCTCTTGTAATCGCAGAAGTCAAACATGACTTGTATTCATCTTTTATTATTGGTATATATTGAGTAGTACAGTTTTAACAGTTTTTTCCTTTCTTAAAATGTGTATACATGTTTTGGCACCCTATGGATGTGTCTCTTCTTTCATGCAGAATAATTATTTCACGATCCATCCAGATTGTTTTGCATACCAATATTGTGTTCCTTTTTATTGCTAAATAGTACTTAATTATATGAATATCACAATGTGTTTATCCGTTCATCTATGGATGGACAGACATTTGGGTGGTTTCCAGTTTTGGGGTAGTACACATACAACTCTGTATAGTCATATGCTTTCATTTCTCTTGGGTAAATACCTCAGAGTAGAATGTCTAGGTGACATGGTAGGTGTATGTTCAGCTTTTTAAGAAACTGCCAAACCGTTTTCCAAATTGGTTGTACCACTTTAAATTTCCACTAGACGTGTATGAGAATTCCAACTCTTTCCCTCATCACCAGTGTTTGATATGGTCCCACACACACATACATATACATATATATATATATATATATATACACACACACACACACACACACACACACACACACACATATATATATGTGTGTGTGTGTGTGTGTGTGTTTTAAATATTAAATATTATCCTCCACCCCAGGAAATTCTAGTTCTTTCCTTCTTATTCCTTTCCTCCTTTGGGTGTAGAACTCTCCAGACCTCACTGACCAAAAACAAGCCACTCCCGGGAAAACCCAGTGACTTACTTTGATTGAAGGGGTCGGTCACTGGGACACATCCAACGACTGGAGCTGTTGCTGAACACGGTATCAGTCATGGCAGAAGTCACGCGCTCCTGGAAAACAAGCCCGATAGACTGTCACCAAATTATTCAGCCAGTCCTTATCTGTCAAGTCCTGACTCTATGCCAAGCCCTCTGGGGGCCACAGAGAAGAAACAGGACTTCGCTTAGCTTCTCCACTTTCCAGGTGGGGAACCTCAGGCCCCCACAGGGAAATTTCCTGCTGGAGGTCCCAGCTCCCTGCTGGCAGAAACAGACCAGAGCTGAGAACTCACATTCCTCTCATTCACCAACTCAAGACCACATATCCAGCAAGGCAGGGCCCACAGTTCCCAGTGGGTCCTGATTTCCCCCGAGGGTCTTGTTACAACATGGCCTTGTTTTCTGGGAAGCTGAACAGGCGAGAAGTTGGGACGGGAATAGGGAAAGAAACTGTAGGATTATTAAATCTTTGGGTGGGTGGAGCTGGAGACGGACTGATGGTTGAACACGTGGGAGGGAAACCCCTTATATAGAAGCCATTTTGCCTGCTTCCATGTGATTAACATGATCTTCCCGGGTTAATATGACCATTTCATTGTTTCCACGTGGAAAACAGAAAGAAAGGAGAGATGGCTCCTGTTATGAAGGAAATCTGCTGAAAAAAACCTTAAGGTCTCATTATTGCCTGTGCTAAGAGCTGCCCTGAGGCCCCCAGCTCCCGCTGGGTGCCTAGGGCCTCAGTCCCTGGTAATGAGCTTCCTGGCTGGCCCCATGGTCTGGACTTCGGAACGTTCATTTGAAAGGCTCACCCTCCTGCTTTGTGGCGGAGATGAAACACAGCCCTTGGAGGACCCCGGAGGGCAGGGAACGCTGGGGCAATGGATGTACGGTCCCCTCCCAGGAACTCTGATTTCCAAATTCTGTAGCCCTCGAGGCAGAACCTGGCCTGCGGCCCGCTCCTGCATTCAGTCATACACACCAGGAGCTCAGTTCCTATTAAAATTCTACCTGCAAAGCCCAAACTCACTGGCTGACCACCCATGGAAGCCACCCAGCTCCATCGCTCTAGGCCAGAAGCCACCCTGGACAGCACTGGTTATTCCAGCTTGGCCATCCAGGGCTCTCAGAGCACTTAACATCCCAGGATTAGACTCTTAGCTCCCGTCAACCGGGCCTGGGTGGGGAGATGGGACTGCCTGAGCAATCAGGGCATTTGAACAACTGGAGGAACAGCCGCAGAGAAAGGAGGTCACATGTCCATAGGCAGATCTGGGCTGGGGGTGGAGATGCAGGATGGGGTAGGGGGGGAGTGCATCGCAGACACTGTTGATGCTCTTTACAAGTGGTGTGTCCACCCCCAGCCTCCAGAAATTTTAGCAACGAGGGGCTTGCAGCAGCACCATTTTCCTGAGACTTGCCCCGGGCCCACAAGAACAGCTGCCTGGCCCAGAGGTACCTAGGAGGCTACACCCACCCCCTGGGAGCAGCCCAAAGCCAATGACGGACAGGGGGAGAGTATGAAAGCGCAGCCTCCTTGTCTCAAGGTGGATGGCTCTGTGGCGCCAGCACACTCCAGAGAGGCCAGACTCCAGCAGCAGCCACATCCGAGCCCAGTGTCCTCCACTGCCCTGTCCTGAGCCCATCACTAGCACAAGAAACCCCATCTCCGGTTCTGCTCCTAGAGAACTAGACCTCACATGCAAGTAGAAAGGAGAATCTTAGGGAAGTAGGGTTCTTATCCCTGAACTCATTACGCCACCCTAAGCAAGCCACCTAAGTATTGCCCCGTCTTACAAAGGGTGATCCTAAGATGTTCTCCCACCTGCCTGCAGATGACACTCCGTGAGGTCCAACCAAGATCTCAGGCGTGAGGGTGAGTTAACAGAAATGGAGAAAGTCCACCGGTGAGCCTCTGACATTTCCAGATCACCCCCCAGTTTCCCACTGCCCATCACAGAGAGAGCATCCCCATAATGAAGAGGAGGCCCGAGACCTCAGGGAGGACCAGGAGAGGGAAACCAACTAACGATACCAGTAGAGATGTGTGTGTCAGGTAAATAGAGGATTCCAGCCCTGGGATCACTGCAGAGTCACTGAGCTGATGAGCCTAAACGCCTACCACCGTCACTCACACACACACAAACACTTATAGAATGGTAATTCCCTTTTCCTACTTCTCCTAGGTGACAGTTAATCCCACAGTAGATGATTAACATTTCTTAAGCACCTACGATGTGCCAAATTCCATACCTTCATTATTTATTTTAATCCTTACAATCCTATTCATAGGTAGGTCGTATAATCTTCCTTTAAAGGTGAGAAAGCTGAGGCTCAGAGTGGTTAAGCCACCTGCTCGAAATCACACAGCTACCAAGTATCAGAGTTGGGATTCGAACTCTGCCTCCACAGCCCAGGTGCTGCCACTCACTGCTGTGTTCACACCGGTAGCACATTCCTCCCTGGGCTTTAGATTGTTTGATGAGCGTCTGGGGGATTGGTGACTGTACAGTCCTGGTCCTCTGGCCCCTGGCTGCATTCCCACCTCTCAGCCTCAGAAACAAACAGAGATCCGCCCACTCAGACATCTGCCTGGAGACGCTGAGGGATCACACGCTGCAGCTCGGTCAGGGCCAAGGCCATGGCTGAAGTCCAGTTCTGCAGTGACAACTTTATAAAATAACTGTCTCCTCTGGAACTCAGAGGCGCCAGCTCTTTTTCTCAGGTGCCGGCTCCCCCACCATCCTGGTGCAAACTTCAAGGAACCGTCTACTCTCGGTAACAAAAGCAATGACAGGGAAAACTGACGATTCCAATACCAAGGGCGAGCTGCATGCTAAGTGCCTTTTGTTTTATCTCATTCAATCCTCAGAAATCGCCTTATGAGGCAGGCATTCTTCTTATCCCATTTTACAGATGAGTAATGGAGTCACGGAGAGTCTAAGTGGGCTTCCCAAAGTCCTGCTCAAAGTCTTTCAAGGAAGTCATCTAAATGCCTAATAAGCACTTGCGAGAGAAATGGCGGTGCCTCCATATGGTGGAGTACTATGCAGCCATGAAGAATAATGAGATTCTTTATGACAGGTACGGATTGATCGCCAAGATACATTCTCTGGTGAAAAGATCAAGGTGTACGACAATGTTCTAGAACAACACTATTTGCACGAGAGAAAGCAGTATATGTGCATGGGATTCTTGGTTGTACAGGCATAAAATGTTTCTGCAGAGAACATATAAGAAACGGATAACATCGCTTGCCTCTGGGGAGGGGAACTGGAGAGCTGAGATGCGGAGATTTTTCATAATGTACCCATTTGTATTTGCAACCATGTGACTATGTTAGCTATTCAAAAACAAATGAACGTTTGTTTTTAAAAAATCTAATTGAAAAATAATAAAGTGCTTCAATGGCTGCCTATGGCACATAAGATATAAGAGCCTCTCTGGGACCTCAGAGAACTGCCATGAGCCTCTGCCTGCTACTCTCCCCGGGTCTGACCACGTTCCAGTCACACTGGCCTTTCCAGCCACCAGACTTTGCTTCTGCTGTTCTCTCTGCCTCTGACAGCATCTTCCTCCTACTATCACATGAATGGTTCCTTCACATGCTCTGCTACTCTCTGCCCAAATGTCACCTCTTTCAGGGAGCCTTCCATGACTACACTCTCTAGGTCACCTCCTTTCATCCCCTTACTTACTCTCACTGCATCCTGTCCGTTTCTTTTACATTTATCATGATGTGTCATTATTATTACTTTTTATATATTTGCTATTGGTCTCTTCCCCTGTTTTTTAAGATCCATAAGAACACGACCCAGGGCCTGCATCGGTTCAGCAGCTGCCGCTCCTGTGCACGTCAGGCCAGCTTCATGGGCCTGAGACCTATGCAGTCACACAGCACCCATGCACGGGAGGACCCTGCACCTGGTTTGATGCTCTGCTGGCATCGTCTTGAAATTCTTAATAATTTTTGGCCGAGGAGCCCTGCATGTCCCCTGTGTAGCCAGTCCTGAGTATGCTGTATAGTAGATGCTCAGTGAATCTTCACGTAAGTCACAGAGCCCAGTGAGAGCAGCGGAGGCTCAATAAATCCGCATATAAGTGGCAGAGCCACGCTTTGTTCCAGCCTTGCCCACCCTGAAAAGTCCGATGCAGGAACCTCCCACCCCGTTTTCATTTTGTTCTGCCTACATCTCCCCGGCTCCTTTAGTGCTGTTTGGTAAGGAATGGCACCTCCATTCCCCAGAATCTCAGATGGTTTTAGTTGAGCTGAAAAAAACAACTCTTAAAACACACTTAGCTTCAGAGCCCCAGCAGGTGCCTAAGTGTGACATAGCGGGACTGGGCTGGCTGCGGGGCTGGGCTGGCCGGGGATTTAGCTGGCCCTTCAGGGCACTGCAGGGAACTGGGGAGAGCTGCAGCTGTCTGCGTGGAGTTCAATGCCACAGTCGGCCTCCCAGCCTCCCAGTCTTGGAATTAAACCAGATGCTTCACAGCAGAGCCTGCAGCTTGGACGCTGCCCAGGCAGTTCGATCCCTCTGTCTCTTTTCCTGCCCCTCCCCTCTTCCCTTGCGTCCAGCCCATCACTGGTCAATTAGGAATCTGGGAAAACTCACTCAGACTATCTGATGGAGTGGGGAATGCAATTTACACAAAGGGCCTCAAACGGGGTGAAGCAGGGGTCCAGGAATGGGATCCAGGCTGAAAATATGTTTTGCTTGGCCCATGCAGCATTTTTTAAAAAGTAAAAAAGCAAGCCAATACTTTTTTTTTTTAAAGCACAGGATTTAATGGAAAATACAGATTGCCAGCTTCTTGTGGGAAGTGGGAGGAATAAAAAAATATTTATACCACATCTATTACCATGTGCCAGACACTGTTCTAGGCACCGGGGATACAGCACTGAAACAAACAAAAAAAAAAGAGGAAAACCATTGTTGTCATGTTGCTTACCTTCCGGTGGGGAAGACAGACAATAACCAAACTGTAAGTCAAATATAAAACGAGTCAGCTGGCGATGGACACTTTAGAGAAAAAGAAAACAGACAAAGGGGACTAGTGATTGAGAGGGAAGG